AGGTAGGAGATAAAAATTCTGAATCACAGACTAAAGGGAAAGAAAACAAGGCAGTCAAACGAAGGGGTGGGGAAGAAGACAAAAGCATCAAGAAAACACATTTGACTTTCTTGACATCTCTCAACTTCAACCTTTATGCTTACCATGCTGATTTCCATGCAGCCCCATTACTTCATTTTTCCCCTTCATGTTTATTTCTCCCCTTCATGCAGAAAGTCCTATTAGATTTCTTAAAGCCACTAACCTAAATCCTATTGCTTTACAAAATCCATTCCACTAAAGAGATTAATCCAAACTGTTGGATGAATAAGGGGAAAAACATCTTCTGTAGCCAAGTGTTTGTATATAACGTCAAATCAGAAGAGGGAAAAGGACACAAAAGGGCAAATAAAATGTACAGGTACACTTGTATAGCAAGTATGTTGATTCTTGATCTGCCACAGTTATGAAGGATTACAAATGTTTAGTCCAATATAATCGTAGATACTAGGCATCTTTGTTGGACTTTTCAGGAAACAGATGACACACCCTTAAAGTGTTTCTAGTTTATCCCATATCTCACTGTGGATATAGCAAATTAAACTTCAGATGTTCTTCAATACGCTATAGCAAATAAAATGTATTTATGGGGTTGGTTAATTTAGCTAGTGTTGAAATAAAGCCCAAGGTTGAGTTACGATAAGCACCAATCTTGGCCTTGGAGAACAGATGAAGAAGTTCTTTTCTTTTGGTGGATAGGTGGGTAGCTGCGGGTGCAGAATGCTGAACATACCATCCAACATTTATTTTGTCTTTTTTTTTTTTTTTGTTAGAAGCGAAGGTTCATTTGGGGTTGGTGTACAGCAGGGATTATGTCTAGGAAGCATTGTAATGTAAAAACAAAGGGAATCAATAAAACCTATTAAAAAAGCAATGGGTACCAAAGAAAATAGACTAAGCAATCAGCTTCAAAACAGCACCAAATAGAGAGGATGTTAAAAAACCAAACTAATTAACTATAGACGATAGTTTACTGTGGTTTCTATGACTGATATGACTAATTAGGTATACTGAAGGTGGGCTGTGAACACAAACCAAACTCAGCAGGATTCATTCTGAAAGTCTGTCCAGACCTTTAACCTTTAGAGATTACTTAACATCCTGTAAAATTTCCCTGCTAACTGTGCTACCATTGTTATCCCAAAGGTCTAAGATAATCATCTCGATGATGACAATCAGTCTGACAAGTCTTTAACAGGTAAATACATGCCCTAGGATCGTCAATGTAAATGGACTCATTTAGAAATTGCCTTTAAATGTCTGTTTAATTTCCTCCTTTAGGAAACCAAATTTAATCAAAGAGACCAACTTTTTTTTTTCTCTTTAAAGTTTTAATGACATACTTAACTGCATCATTATTTTGTTAATGGCAACAGAAAGGGTAACCCCAAAAAGATTTTAAATCTTCCCTTTTTAAAAAGAGAAATTATGGCTATTTATAATAAAAACTTTAATTACCGGAAAAATGTGGAAAAGTTGAAGTAAAAACTTTCTTGATAAGGTGGGCATATATATACATCCCAACACACAAACCCAATTTATGATATGGATAATTAATAAATAAGCTTCAATTTCCTTCTATACAAAATTGGGATAATAATATTGAGGGCTACTGAGAGGAAAACATTTTGTGGCCTGCAGAATAGTATGTAACTCTCCATTTCATCGGGTCCCACAGCTACTCAGTGCTGAAGAAGAATTCAAAGATACGTTCCTATGTCCCCCAGGTTCAGTGCTCCTTCCATTAAACTACACTGCCTGTCAATGAATAAATGAATAACAGTAACTGACATTTAACTGCATTATACTCAGCTAGGCAGCTTTGTCAGTACAATGAATTTGGAGTGAGAGAATGAATTTGACAGACTCTACTTTGAGGCAATCAAGACAAACCTTTTCACTTTACAGTTAAGGAAGTGACACCCAGAAAGGGGAAAGGTCTTGCGAAGATCAGAGAGGTAATAAGTGTCAGAGCAAAAATTACTCAGGTTTTCTGAATCCAAATCTAGTATGTGTTACCACTGTTATCACTTAGGCAAAATCCTATTATACGCAGTCCAGCTATGAAGTAAATGTTTCTGTCTCCCCTTAGCATTAACCAGTTTTACTTTATCAATGCATGTGGACAGTTACCACTATGATGTAATGAAGATAAATTTATATTGCATAGACATATACATATATGTAAATAGGTAGGTGGCATAGTGGATAGAAAGCTGGGCCTGGAGGCAGGAAGATTCATCTCCCTGAGTTCAAATCTGGCCTCAGACACTTACTAGCTGTGTGACCGTGGGCAAGTCACTTAACCCTGTTTGCCTCAGTTTCCCTCATCTATAAAATGAGCTGGAGAAGGAAATGGCAAACCACTCCAGTATCTTTGCCAAGAAAACCCCAAATTGGGTCATGAAGAGTGAGATGTGACAGAAAATAACTGAACAACAATAAATACACACACGTATAATTTTTTAATATATTACACATGTGTGAATATGTATGCATATGTATTTAAATAAGCAAAGATAGCAGAAATTAGAACTCTAAATGAGTAAAATCCTTCATCATAGTTAACGAGTTGGCACTGCACTTACTTATCAATACTTAAAACATTCTGAAATTCCTGTCTTGAAATATTTATAATATAAAATAAAATTATATCTATTCATAAATGAAACATTTATAGGCCACTCCAAAACTGGAATCATTACTTTATTGTCAGCCGTCATTAAATAAAAAACACCTTAAAATGGCAGTATTTAGGTTGCCCACCCTTTCATTCTTCAAGTTTGGCTCCAAGTGCCTTTTAGTTCTTTTTAAGACAAACACCATAAATAATTGTCCCACACACACCCCCAAGAGTGGAGAATGGCCAATACTGAGTATATTCAGAAGAAAGGTACTTGAGCAATTCCAGAAGAAGAAAGTTACAGCTTTTTAAAGAATGAAGGTATTTTGGAATTAGTATCTAGCCTTCCAAGGTGAGTATGTTCAAGGAATGCACTCATTTGGACGAGTAAATTCAGATAGGTTTGCTGGGAAAATATACATTTTATTTCCTTATAGTCACCTCATGCATGCAAGTACCCTGGAATTGCTGGGCAGTCTTCAAGTTTAGGTGTTGGGGTTTTTTTTTTCCTTTCTTTCTTTTTATAGGGTTTTCTAGCCTTCACACACACACACACACACAGACACATCCCAACATCAAAGAAAGTTTCCTTTTTTGGTGGCCAATTCCAGTCTGTTCTGCAACTGACTTTGACACTTCCTAAGCCTTTCCCCGGCTGGTTTCGACATTTGCCTTTTACACAGGATGGCAATTCTTCAGGGTTTTTTTTTTCTTCCAGAACAAATACACCACTCATCACACTGGGTAAGAAAATGTGTCACCATTTCTTTATTCATATGCAATAAGTTATACTAAGGGGGAAAAAATAAACTTTCCGAAGATGGAAATTTATACCTTTGAAGTGGAATGCAATGGGAAAATCTATAGTTGCCAGCTAAATCATACTGTATTTTTTTCTATTTATGCTTTGCTTGTTTTAACAGAAAAAGGCTCTGACTTCAAATTGCATTGGCTACCCCACATCTCTGGAATGCATTCCCTCATTCACTCTGCCTCATAGAGTTTTACTCTTCCTAGAAGACAGAGTTCAAACATTATCTTCTATATGAAACCTTTTTTGATCCCCCAACTGCTAGTGTCCTCCCTCCCAAACTACCTTGTATGGAACTACTTTATACAATTTGCTTGTATGTATTAATCTTAGATTCTAAATATGGCATATTAAATACACACATATCTATATCCATATCAGTGTCAATATCTTTATCGCTGTTTCTTGTCTCTCCCATTAGAATGCATGCTCCTTTCCAATAGGGCTATTTCATTCCTTATACTTATATCCCCTAATCTGGCTACTGCAGTGCTTGGCACACAGTAGGTACTTAAAAAGCACTTGTTGATTAATTGATTATAACCTGAAGTGAATTAGATTAATTAAAATGGTATTTTGCTTTTCCAAATTTGACTTCAAAGTCACATGCTTGCACATATAATACAAAAGATGTCATTTAAGTCTTGATAAAAAAAAATTCTTGAGTTAAAATTATCAACGCTTCTTGGTAGTCGCCCCATTATAGTTTTTAATAGAAATGACGAACACCAATGAATTTAGCTTTTTCAGCCTTGCCTCTGCTGCCCCCACCATTACTTGCACTACAATAAAATATAAGCGATCATTTCAGAAATGCATTGACTTTCGGAGGTTTCTTGGGGAGCCCACCTCTTGGATGAGCTATCTGGGCATATGCTTGACAGTATGATGTTCAAACAGAACCCTGATTGTCCTCATTTACATTCCTGTGCAATATTTAACAATGCCAGCAGTATTCTTTTGTACTGCCTGGCATAAAGCTCTATCATTACATTATTGCTCCATATAGTAATTCATTTTTAAAAGAGACTGCAGAAAAAAATGTAAATCTGTATAAAAAACTCTCAACTAGTTAATGAAGTACTTTTAAAAGGGTTCCCCTACTCCCATCTTTTTGTTTCTTTTTCTTTCAGTCAATTATGCATTAAAAAGAAACTTTGGGTGACTATGGCTGGTCTAGCAAAGGCTGTTAAACACAACTGGAGATGTAATCAGTCATTCCGAAAGAGAAGTGTGGAAGTATCAGTTATATACACTTTCCTGACTTCATTTACTTTTACTGCCCCTTGATTAACTATGGAATATTTTTTTATTACCCACCTCTTGCCAATAATTGGATATTTTAGTGACTCGCTTTGGAACTTTTAGACAAAAAAAAAAAATTACATGCATGCACACAGATAACTTCCTGAAATCAGAAAGTCCAACTCATTTAAGATACCCAGTAGTCTCATTAAGCCAGTAAGTAAGCTTAAAAGCTTCCAGCTGATAGAGAAGGGGACCCGGGAGACTGGCAGCAAACATTACCTTTGCATGAACGAGCCTTGCCTGGAGCAGTCGTGGCAGCCGTTTGCACCTGCTGCTGTTTGCCCAGATTTCCTTCACTTCCAGTTTTCAAGTTCTTCTCCCCTAAACTGTGTTTTTTCTGCCTGCTGTCCTGCTCGTCCCTCCTAGATAATGGCAGCTTAGAAGCTGCATTAGCTGAGAACGGTCTAGCCAAGCGAGAAGGCTTGGACATCGCGAATCAGCCGGAACATTACCTGCTGGGCCAGCAGATTCTAAAAATCCTCTGAGCTTTTTACTTTGCAACTGACCCAGTGAGAGGCTGCAGGATGGAAAGTCCTGGCTTGCCAATTCGATCTCTTTTAAACAAAAGGCACGGTGGAGTCACACAGACAGTGTACCAGACCTGTGGAATGTAGATGTGGGCTCGGGTAAAGCAGCTGACGGTTCTGCAATGGTAAATGCTCCAACTCCGAGGAAAAAAACAGATGCTGGGCTCGGAAACGTTCATAACACACACGCCTCCTGGCATGCACAGACTAGACACTGGGCAGCCTTCAAGTGGGATAAGAATGTAAACGTTACCCCACCCACTCAGGTGAAATAAAGAAAAAGAATCCAGATGCAGGGTGAATATTTCGGTGAAATATGCAATTACATGATACTTCCAGGCATTGGTTCAAGCACATATCTCCTCCCCTGACTAAACTTTTGCCATCCCCAGGATGACTATGTACCTCTGTCTACCTGCATCATTATTTCTAAAGGAGAAGAACAAGGCCAGGCCTCTGCTCTCCTCCCGTTGGTGGTCATCAGTGATGGATCACAATGGATCGTGTACTACAGGGGATCAATAGAGGTCGGAGGAGGGGGGAGTGTAGAGTAACTGAGGCTGAAAAGAGCTCAACTCCCAATCACAAAAATACAGTCACAAAGAGCTAAAAGCTACAGAGGCAGGATTCAAATCCACATCTCGGCTGATTCTATACAGTGGGCTTTATGCTACATCAATCTACCTCTCAAAGAACAAGTGAATGACAGTTGACATTTACACAACATTTTAAACATTTGCTGAGCACTTTACGAATATATTATCTCATTTGATCCTCACAATAGCCCTACAAGGTATGAGCTACAGCTGTTACCATCTTTACTTTGCAGGTTAAATGACTTGTCCATGGTCTTACAGCTACTAAGTATCAGAGGAAGCATTCAAAGCCAGGTTTCTATTGACTGCAAATCCACTGTTGTTCCTATCACATTATACTGCCTCTCAATGAACAAATGAATGTTAATAATAATTGACTTACTTTATACATAATGATAACAATAACTGCCATGTGATTGCTTTACATACATAATCTCACATTATTTGTATAACAACCCTGTGAGGTAAGTATTGCTATTTCCCACTTTCAGATAAAGTTTAGTGACTTGTCCAAGATCACACATCTACTACATATCAGAAGCTGTGGTAGTCTGTCCTTTAAACTACACTGGCTGTTCTCATGCTTTTTCAGAAAACAGGAGGAAGAATATTTTTTAAAAAGTGTTTTAAAGGATCATATTAGTCCAGTTCCAAAACATTCATTCATCCATTTAATACATAGCTTGTATCAAGAATACAAAAACTCTTTACTATGACAGATAACCATTTTCTCTTCTAGCTTCTCATAACAGTGATTTTATGATTTGGGGTTAAGCTTTTTTCCAACCTCAATTACTCTATATTCCCTTAGGAAGAGTCTCTTTATAAACTATAAAAAGGTTTGGGAAATATGTGATCACCAAATACCGCTCCAAATGTAAACACCATGCTGTTTCACATTTATATTAGATAAACTTACTACTGCTTAGCACTGTTTCAGGTGGGATATACTCATCCCTAAGCCTTCTAGCTTGGTAAACGAGACCTTCTGGGTCATCCCACTCGGACATGGACTCTGGCCCTGGGATAGGCCTGCTTTGTCCTCATCTTGCATTTTTCAGGTGATCTGGTATAGAAGAACTAGGCTAGCACAGGGCATCCTTTCCATTTCCAAATCATGTTTCCTGCACCCTGGCCATGCCTCTTATCAATCTTCCTCCTGCCACAACTCAAGTTTTGGTGTTCTCATAGATGAGCTTTTACCTTATCTGTCTCAGGACTAAGCCACTATGACACTTTCCTGTCATTTCCAAGCCCTCCTACCACAGGCACATTGCTGTCCCACTTCCAGCTTTCCTTCATGTCTTGTCTTCTGCCTTTAGAACATAAGCTCCTTGAGAGCAAGATTTGGCTTGCTTGCTTGTGTTTGTGCAGTCGGTGCTTGGTACAGTGCCTGGCATATAGTTCTTAATCCCCCCTCCCCCCCACCCCATTTAAGCTTGGCTTGGGTATATGTATAGCAAACCTCTAAGATGAAGATCCTGTATCATGGTGAATGATCCTCATCCATGTAATTTCCTCACCTGTCAGTTCTACAATCATGAACATGATGGCTCCTTAGAGAACCTTGCCCACTGCTACAATTGTTACTCATTTCAAACTCTGGACATCATCCTTTTGCCTTATACAATCAGCCCTCTGCCTATGTTCTCTGCCCACTTTGAACTTCTAGAGAAATGGTCTCTATACTTTTTTTGACCATGCATCCCACAGTAAAAATAAAATAAATAAAATGAAAATTGAGCACCTTTCCAATATAAGTATATGGGTTTTCCTGACTCAATTCTCTCCCCACTTCAGTTCACCCTCTATACAACTGCCAAAGTGATTTTTCTTAAACATAGATCTGACCTTATCCTTCACCTACAAAATAAACTCCTGTGGTTACCCATTGCCTGTAGAATAAAATATAAAATCCTATGTTTAGCTTTTAAAGTCCTTTTCCAAGTAGGCCTCAATTTATCTTTCTAGCCTCACTGTACATTACTCTCTATCCCATAATCTGCAATTCAGCTCAACTGGCTTTCTTTCTGTTTCTCACAAATAGTACTTCAATTCCCATCTCTGTGCTTCTGTACTGGCCTTCCCTTGGGCCTGGAATTCATTCCTTCTTTACTTCTGCCTTGCTCTCAAGGAGCTTATGTTCTAAAGACAGAAGACAACACATGAAGGAAAGATGGAAGTGGGACAGCAATGTGCCTGTGGTAGGAGGGCTTGGAAATGACAGGAAAGTGTCATAGTAGCTTAGTCCTGAGACAGATAAGGTAAAAGCTCATCTAAGAGAACACCAAAACTTGAGTTGTGGCGGGAGGAAGACTGATAAGAGGGATGGTCAGGGCGCAGGAAACATGATTTGGAAATGGAAAGGATGCCCTGTGCTAGCCTAGTTCTTCTTAAAATATACCTCAAGCAACACCTTCTAAATGAAGCTTTTCCTGATCCCCCCTCCCACCACCCCTGCCGCCAACTACAATTACTCCCCCTCCCAAAGAACCTTGTACTTAACTGCTTTGTATTTATTTCTAATTATTCTCTTTATATAATTCTGCATACACTTATATATGTACTTGTTGTTTTTCTCCTTCAGAGCTGGGATTTTTAAATTGTTACATGCATCCTCATTGGCTAGCAAAGTGTTTAGCATATAGTAGCTGCCTTAAAAATGTTTGTTGATTGATATATTTCATTATTTAAAAATTTGATAAATATACTATGTAGTAATAATTATATATTTTATTAAACATAAGAAATTTAAAAGAATGGAATAAATATGAAATAATATTTGATCCTAGAGTTAATGCAGAGCCACTTAAATTTATCGTTGTTTGTCCCTTATCCTGGAAAAGGACCATGACATCAGGGAGGTGATGTTATGACATGCAAATAAACTGGATTTAAGTAAGGGAGGGCCGTGCAAAGTCACCAGCCTCACTTTCTCCTCCTGAGCCATCTGGGTCCAGTGGCAAGATATAAATCAAGATGACTGGAGATGGTCCAGGATGCAGTGGAAGACCTTGGCCTTTTTAAGCTAAAGTCTTTCCCAGGTCTCAGTTTGACTGAGACAGTGCCCATTTAGGCTAAGTTTATTGAATAGGAGTGTGGCATGATTAGACCTCAACTTTAGGAAATCCCTTTGATAGCCATGTGGATGATATATTAGAGACTACAAAGAGACCAGTTAGGAGGTGATTGCAATAGTTAAGGTCACAGGTATTGAGGCCTGGAACTAGAGTGGTGGCTGTGTGAGAAGATGATTTTGAATGTGACAGATATTGTGGGGGTAGAAAGGACAGGATTGGAGAACCTTGGAGTGAGGGAGATTGAGGAGCAGAAGATGATACCACAGGTATGGGTTGGAAGGATGGTGGTTTCCTCAGCAGAAACTGGGAGCTTGGACAAGAGGGGGTTTTGGAAAGAAATATAATACAATGAGATTTTGATATAATTTCAACTCACCCATGCTGGCTTATCCTGTGATCCCCACTCTGTCCCACCAAAAATGGGTACCCACTATTACCTACCCTAGAGAACACAATGTGACCTTTGAGAGGTGTCCACTGTAGCCACCAAGCAATATGGGGGTCAGGAAATGGGATACGCTGGGGTAGGACAAGAATTTACGTTTCCCAATGGTACCTACACATCTACTTCTCTGGGACCTCAGGCTGTGGCTAGGTTATAACTGTCTTGAAGGCCATATTTCAAGCTCAGAAGGAGGCAGGGATGGGGGGAAGAGATAGGAACTATCAATCAGGAAATAAGCATTGATTAAGTGACTATCATGTACTAGGCACTGGGAACATGAGGAAAGACAAAGAAAAGTCCCTGTTCTCAAGGAGTTCATAGACTAATGGGGACATCAGAGGAAAGTGATGGAAAGAAGGAAGGAAAGAAAGAAGGAAAGAAGGAAGGAAACCAGCATCTACTATGTGGCAGGCACAGTGGCACTTTATGATATCACAACAATCCTGGGAGTTAGATGCTATTATTACCCCCCACTATACAGTAGAGGAAATTGTGTCAAAGAAAGATTATGTGTCTTGCCTAGCGTCACATTTCTACTAAGTGTCTGAAGCTGGATTTTTACTCAGGTCTTCCTGACTCAAAGCCCAGTACTCTATCATTTAGTTCCCAGTAAGTAGGACAGGAAGGACAGATCGCTCCATAGACTCATGAGCCTGGACACAATCTTGAATGGTCAGCTAATTTAGTGGCTTCAAACTCAAGTTTCATTTTGTTTTAAAGTTTATAGCATTTATCTATTGATGCAACTATCACCTAAACACTTTTTTTTCCCTTCACAAAGGCATATGGATCCAATTAGGGATATAAACTCACTGGAATAAAAGGAAGAATAAAATAAGACAATTTGGGGATGTGTATGTGTGTACATGTTTATGTATACATAGATGTGGACTGTGTGTGTGAATGTGTTC